TGCTTGGATGGCTTTAGAGACTGAACAACTATTACATCAAGATCCCTTTATTTCATGACACTGTTAAGGTTATTCCCATCCAAATTATAGTTATAATTCAAATTATGATAACCCACATGCATTATCTTGCATTTATTATAATTAAAATATATTTGCCATTTGTTTGCCCAACTCACTAAATGATCTAAATCCTTTCGTAAATTAGCAGCATTCTCTTAACAGCTAGAAACATCCAAGACCTTAATATTATCTGCAAATTTAAGTAATTTATTGACCATTTCTTCATTTATGTCATTAATATAAATCAAAAAGAGCAAAGTTCCTAAGACTGAGCCCTTAGGTACCTCACTTGTAACATTAATCCAGTTTGATTGAAGTCCATTTGTAACAACCTTCTGCATTATTCCATCCAACCACTCTTCTATCCAATTTGCTAACTTACCCTCACACCTATAGAGATAATTTTTTTACAAGCCTTTCATGTGGCACCTTGTCAAATGCTCTCTGAAAATCCAGATACACCAAATCTATACTCTTACTCTCATCTACATAAGCAGTAACCTTTTCAAAAAATATCAAAAGATTTGTAAGGCAAGATTTTTCCTTAGTGAAACCATGTTGACTATCAAATAAAATTCTAAACTTTGTTAAATGACTTTGCAAAGCATCTCTTAATAGACTTTCCAAAACTTTTCCCACAATTGATGTGAGACTAATGGGCCTATAATTACAGGGACAATTTTTATCACCTCCCTTGAAACGAGGAGTGACATTAGCTAACTTCCAATCCTCTGGAACCTGCCCACTATTCAAGGGCTTACAAAAATAGTAAGTGGCTCACATATCCAATCTTTAACCTCCTTCAAAACCCTTGGGGAAATACTATCTGGCCCAGAAGCCTTATCATTCTTTAAACTTCCCAATTTTTTCTTAACAGCAGTCATCTTGTTTGATCTTACTTCCATCTATCAACTGTTCAAGATATGGAATGCTGCTTAAAAATTTTCTACTTACATTTTGTGTAATAATCTTGTCTAAGCTTAAACTGCAGTATATGATGCAACTCAACAGTTTCATGATCTTGGATGAATGAGGCATTTATTGTCTTTGCAGTCGAGACATACTGTTTTTGTATTGTTTCTTCTTTCTTTCTTCTTCCTAATACTTTTCAATCTACTGCCATTCCTTCATTTCCTGGCAGATTGACTTGAAACTTAGTAGGGTTATAGGGTTGTCCAGTATTCCCAGGTGCCATTTTAAATTTCTTGATTCCAGCTGTTTTTAAGGATTTTGTAGGGTCAAAAGTCAAACAACCCAGTAATGTATATTTTAGGCTTTTGTGGGGTCATATTTACAGCAATCAAGACAAAAATTGGAGAAAATATAAATTTTCAGGCACCCAACATATTGAAATATAAAAAAATTGGGTTTGCCCATTTTGAGTCTTTGGGGGGGGGGGGGAGAGCTCACAAAAAAGCATAATTTGGGGGATTTGATCCATTATTTAGCGATATTTTGATAAATTTATATGGGATTTGGGGCAAAGATACTTTTCTACAGGTTCCATACATTGTTAAACAAAAATGGTG